ATATTCATATTATATACTATTATTTAAATAAATAACTCAAAAATGCATAATTCCCAATAATCCCACAACAACTCTCGAAAATTACCAAAATGCGAATATTCTTATTTAAATAAATTAAATAAATATTCCAATAAAATTTGGGGTGTTACATATGGTGCACTTAATGTATAACATCGTAAGATACGGTGCACTTAAGTAAATGTAGAACATTGTAAGGTACAGTTCACTTAAGTAGAATACGAAATGTGATAAGTTACCACGTGCTTAAGTGATATATGGTACACCATAAGATATGGTATGCATGCACTTAAGTGGGATTTTTAGCTTGCAACTCACACAAGTGATTTTATAAATAGAACCATTGTGTAGAATCATTCACACTTGATGTAAGTTCGGTCTGTTGGGAAAGGTGAGGGTGGTAATGAAGAGTGAAAATATTATAAATTGGTGTGGTTGAAAAGACGTTTGAGGGTGGGTGTGTCCCATAAAGATTTTTTTTTTTTTTTGGGGGGGGGGGGGGGGGGGGAATGGCGGTGGGGTGCTGTTGTGTTTCCTAATGCGGATAAAATATTACGGTAAATGTGATTTTTAGAGTGTGAGGTTGTGTGGGTAAGGATGATACTAGTATGAGTAACAATATGGGTTATGGGTGAAACGATAGATGTATGAGCAGATCCATAATCAGAGGGTATGGAGAGATGGGAGATATACCTGAAGAAGTAGTAGTTATGTGAGTAGTAGTTGATTGATGCACTCCACTTTAAGCTGCCATTTTTATGAGGGGAGTCATAATAAATTCATGTCTAGGGTCGAGGATCTGCTGCAGATTATCCATTCTGGTGTGAACATTTCCCAATTGCATTTCCAAATTTTTACTAATAACTTAAAATCTCTAATCATTTTGATGGTGAGTGCGGTTAATGGCATCACCAATATGCAAATGAGTTGCTTTAATGGCATCATCCAAGTCATTAGTAGATGGATTTGTAGGCTTAGGAGGCATGAAATGAAGAGATGAAAGCAACAATGTTAATAATTTCTAGAGTTAAAATAAATATCTAAGTTGCAAAGGAAAATGACATAAAACAAACTTCAAGATTGTTGGGGGAGTTTTTTTTTACTAAGAATCATTGAATATTGTAGGACTTCTTTTTTAGAGCAACACCTTTATGAGAGACACACCACATACTCATACAAAGTCTTAAGATGATAGGTGGGTGAGTTTTCTCACTTATAAATGCTTAAGTCTCCATATTTCCAACCAATTGACTTTCGATACAAGTAAGGCGGTCTCTTCCTCGAACCAAAGGCTCATGATACCATGTATTGGGGGAGTTTTTCGACTAGAGAGCATTGAACATTGTGGGACTTCCTTTTAGAGTAACACTTATGTGAGAGACATATCACATATTTACCCAAAACCTTAAGGTGATAGATGAGTGGATTCACTCGCTTATAAATGTTTAACTCTCCACATTTTCAACCAATGTAGAACCATTACTCGTACTACTCACACTTGCTACATTCTCAACAAAGATTTTCATAATAATCAATTACAAAAATATTAACCCTTAAATAATAATTAATTAATAATAATTAATAGACCATGGGACACCTTTGAAAATACAACATGAAATGAAATATTAAATTTGGAGATAATCTCGTTTTGCACCTTCTAATATTGTTAATAGTCTATAAGCCACTTGAGGTTTTTAATTTTTCTTTTGAATTTAAAGATTGGTCCACTAACAAATAAGAATTTTTTTTACCTAAATAACCCACTTTTTAAAAAAAAAATCTAAAATAAATCACTTTTCAATTTATTTCTTAAAGTACCCCTCTTTTGGGGAGTAATAGAGTGTTGTCTCCATATGAATTGGCGATTGCTTTATAGGATAAAGAGGTGTCGGCAATTAGATTGGAGACACCACACGGTGTCTCCAATCTAATTGGAGACAATGTGTTAAATTTGAATATTGTCGCCAATTCATTTAGAGACAGGGTGCAATGTGTAATTTTACTATAAACGGAGGTGGCTTGATTAATTATTTTCACATCTCTTCTCATTTTCTTGTATTAGTGATAACATGTATCGTCGCCACTACGGGAAAGTGATTTATTCGAGAGAGAAGCCTATGATGGAGATGCTCTTCTAGAACATTAAAACTTTCAAGCAACTACAGAGGGAGTTGAATCGTTGGTTAGATGGAGACATACCTAAAGGCGAATGAGAGACTTGATGCACTGCGTAGGTGGCTGCGAGTTAAGAATGACAAGAATGACAATGGTGCGAGTTACCGACCCATAAACACACAAATCCACAATGCAAACATGCTAGACACGCAACCACAATACCAAGAGTGTCATTTATACCATCTCTAACAAAATGACTATTATCAAGACACGCAAAATGCATATGCCCCAAACATAATATTAAGATATAGCCAAAACACCCAAGCAACGTATTATAGCCAAAACGTCCAAATATCATACCATAGCCAAAACGCTTAAACATCACACCATATCTGACACACACAAACATCACACCATAGCCGAAAAGTACAAACATCACACCATAGCCGGAAAAACACAAACATCACAACAACCCTATGACCTTCAAACACCACTACCATTTCAACCTTTCACCAACAAATCTTTCACACCAATGTCACCCTTCAATCGTCCAGGCCGCACACCAATGTCCCCTTCATCACATTCCAACTACTCTGGTTTGGGTTGCGAACTCAGTTACGACAATGTGTCGTCGCTCCATACACAAGACTTCTTAGAAATGTAAGAACTTCTTAGGGATCATGTTGATGTTCCCGAGACCTCAAATCCTCAATCACTTGGAGTGAATCAACAACGAAGACAGCGAGTGAGGGTACGTATGGGATGTGGAACCGATGGACGATATGATCAACCTGATCGTCATCATTAATTTATGTAATATTATTTTTAATTAATTATTAATGTTAATAATTTTAACACATTATCTCCAATTGGATTGGAGACACCATGTGGTGTCTCCAATCCAATTGACAACACCTCTTAAGCCTACAACACTTTCGCCAATTGGTATGGAGACAACACTTAATTTTTTCTCAAACTAGGATACTTTAGAAAATAATCTACAAAGTGAGTTATTTTAAGATTTTATTTTAAAAAGTGGAGTATTTGGATAAAAAAAATTCAACAAATAAAACATATATATTTTTTAATTTATTTATCATCGCGAATAAAGAGTGTGGAAGCAAATTTTTTTCTAAATACAATTATAAAATGATCGATAATATCATTTTAGGTTATGAGCAAGATTTTAGGTATGATTTCAATGATTTATCCAAGGTTTTAGGTTATGGGTGAATTTTTTCGAACTAATTATTTTATTATAAATATTTTTTTAAATTAATTATTATATTATATTATATCTGTAATATTTTGAATCGAACTCTAATCTCGACAGAAGGGTAGCTTGAGGATTCAACATAGTCGACTTAAGCATGTTGTAGTCGAAGGTAAATCAAATATGTTGTAGTCAAAGTCTGTTCATACATGTTATAATTATAGTGTGTTCTAACATGCAGTGTTTAAGTTAGCTTATGCTTTATGATGTTGTAGATATATATCTCATGTATTTATGTTATCATCATACATAGGCTATAAATAGATTGGTTCTCTACTTGTTAGAGAGAGGTTAATTCGATTCGGCAAACATGAGATGTGTCCCACACTTTAAAAAGTACATCAAAAAAATTTATATATCCCGTAATCTCCGTTTTGTACCTAAAATATTTATGTTATCATCATACATAGGCTATAAATATAGGCTATAAATAGATTGATTCTCTACTTGTTAGATAGGGGTTAATTCGATTCGGCAAACATGAAATGTGTTCCACATTTTAAGAAGTACATCAAGTTTTTTATATATCCTGTAATCTCCGTTTTGTACCTAAAAAAGGACGACCTTGAGAGAGCAGACACCGGTAGAATAGGTGCTCCATATCTTTTATGCTGCATAGGTCTGGATAATTAACAATGCTAGTAGAGAATCATTTGCATAGGTTTGGATAATTAACAATGCTAGTAGAGAATCATCAGGCTCTCTCACCCTTTTCTAATAGGGGCAGTGCAACCTATAAAACATAAATGTTAATTCTCTCTTAAAGTTCTTTAGGGGTTTAAAGTCGAAAATAAAATTGTAGCAAACAATATAAGTCGTCTCTTACACTCTCTCTAAAAAAATAAATAGAAAAAATATTTTAACCAATTCTATTTCTCTATCTTATTCTCTCTTCTCTTTCTCTCTTCGGTAATCGCTTTCTTATATTTATTCAAGAAAACTTCTCATTCGAACTAAATTGCTTTGTTTTTGGTGGGCGATTGTGATAACGATATCTAATAGTAAAAATTTAATTAATATAATCTATTATTGTTGGTGTTTTCCTTTTAAAAAAAAAAGTTATGTTGCTGTCAATAAGTATCATCCTCAACATAGAAAAATAACCTATAAAAAATTTATCTTTAACTTCTCTTGATTAACATCTCTTATCATCTTCCACCGACAAAGTTATAAACATCTATTATCAGCTACCATAATCTTCTTCATTAAGTCTTTTTCATCTTCCTAAGTCAATTCTTGATGAATCCAAAAAACCTATCAACAACTCACAACTTAAAAACCAAGTAAATTTTAAACATATATTGCTATTGAAATTTGAAATTTTTTTATTGGAGTATGACTTAATACTGCTCATAAAAACACAGTTTGATTTTGAGTTCTCAACAATAGAAAAATACAAAATGATGATGATGATGATTACCTCTGAGTACCAACCATTTTACCTACCCTACCAAATTTCAAACTTCAAATGCAAGAGACTAATACTTCTCAACTATCTTCTTGTTAGCCTTTCACATTCACATTTCCTATCTTATTCTTTGTTTTGTAACCACCATTCTTCCTATTCTTGGATCACATTCGATCTAGTCTATGAATGGCAAAGCTAAGTTCTTTAGCTCAGCTATGGCCATTTTTTTTCAGAATATGTATTCTAAGTCTTGTCTTCAACTTCAAGATCATTGCACTAGGAGATGATAATGATGGAAGTAGTGGTGATTTTACATCATCATCAAAAAGTAGATGCAAGAATACAAATTTTCAAATTTTCCTCCCTCCGCCTTATCGGAATATTTCCTCTACAATATGTAAACCTGTTTGGCATACATATGAATTAAGGGTAAGTTCAACTCTTATTTTTGACACTTGACACTGATACTAATACAGACACGGACACAAGACTTAATGCCTTTAACTGAATGAAATCATGTCATGTCATTATCAAACATATGTCAGACAAACACTTGACACACCTTTGTTCAAAACTGTCAGTACTATAAAGACGGACGTTTTTAGTCTCTGTCTAAAAACATCCGTCTTTATAAAATACTAAAGATCTGTAATTTATAATGAGATTTTGTTGCAGTATACAAAAAATGATGATACCACCACAATCATATTATCAGCACCCTACACAGTTGGATGGGTAGGGATTGGATTTTCAAAAGATGGTAAAATGGTAGGTTCAAGTGCAATGGTGGGATGGATTAACAAACATGGCCATGCAAAAATCAAGCAGTATTATCTAAGAGGTAACAAATCATCAGAGGTCATTGTAAACAAAGGTGAACTGCCTCTAAATACTGTGCCTGCTGCTGTGGCAACAAATGGAGCAGAAATCTATTTGGCATTTCAGCTTCGACCAACGATTCCATTCGGGAAGCAACCGATTCTATTGGCTTTTAGTACTAAGCATCCACATGAACATCATCTGTCAAAACACGATGACGAAACATCGATCATATTTGATTTTTCTTCATCGTCTTCAGGTGCAAAATCAAATATGTGAATGCATTTTTATTTATTTATCATGTGGTTTAGCACAAACTTGACGGTTATCGTTTTTTCAGATTCTAAGGATCCATCATCCAATGATTTGGTTCAGATGAGAAAGAACCACGGAATAGTTGGTGTAATAGGATGGGGTTTGATCCTTCCAGTAGGGGCTATTGTTGCTAGATACTTCAAACACAAGGAACCAATTTGGTTCTATTTACATTCAATTTTTCAATTTGTTGGATTTGTATTTGGTCTTGTCACTGTCCTTCTAGGATTACAACTCCATTCCAAAATGCATGTTCATATACCTGCTCACAAAGGAATTGGCATTTTTGTCCTTGTGCTAAGTATTCTTCAGGTATGCCAGTAACTCATGCAACAATAACAAATCTATATTTAGTATTATAGTTAACCACGTCCAAATTCGTGGTTACTACATTGGTAGTTATTGAGTTTCGACGTCTTATATATCAGTTGACTATCTATTAAACTGCGTTAACTATTTAAAAAGCTTTCACAAAAGTTGTCTAAATTTAATTGTTCAAAACAATGTGAATTCAGGTATTGGCATTTTTCTTGAGACCGAATAGAGATTCAAAGATTCGCAAAATTTGGAATTTGTACCATGGTTGGTTTGGAAGAATGGCGCTATTCTTTGCAGCCTTGAACATAGTGTTGGGAATGCAAGCTGCAGGAGCAGGGAATAATTGGAAAACAAGCTATGGATTCCTTGTTGGTATCATAATTGTCGCGGTTATTGTTCTCGAAGTATTGGCATATTTGAAAAGATTAGAGAAACGTTCTCTTCCTCCAAATTTCCAAATGAACCCTCTTGAAGAAACCTTTCCAAGTAATAATCTACCAAAAGGTACATTCTTTCATTTTCTTAATTATGTTGTTTCATGTTAGTATCATTATAACTAATATTATACCAATTTTGATGAAGCAGGGTGAATGATGAATGTGTTGGCTCCTAGTTTTGCACTTGTATAAAAATCATCCTTATGGAATGATTGTAGATATATATAGCTACATAGAAGTTTGCCAAGAAGGACAATCCTAACTTTGGCTTCCTTACATGAACTTGAGATTGAAGTTTTTTTTGTTTTCTTCATTTGAGTTTCTGCTGCTGCTTGATCAAGTGTAATGTGTGTTTTTTACATCTATAGTTTGATTTGTTGTTGTTTTGTTATGTACAATAGACATGTTTTTTGAAATTTAAGAATCAGCATGTTTTGATCAAAAGAGATTATTCATAATTTAGAGAAAATGGAATGTAAATAACAACTAACAAACTCCTAACTTAGAGTTTAACAATCACAAAATTTGAATGAAAATATTTGATAAAATGAAATAGAAAAAGGGACAGCAATCCCCTTTGCATGAAGATCTCTAACCATTGACCCTCCAATATTTTGTTGGAATGAAAATTTACTATTCTATTGATTCACTATTATTGTTATCAGTTCTTGGAAATGAGAGGAATGAAAGTAACAGAATTTTCAGGTAAACAATCATGCAGAGAGAGAATGAATGAATGAATCACTGTTTCATTCTATTTTCTAATTGACTTATTACAATGCGTATTTGTAACACTTAGACAAAATTAAACTAATGGTAATGCGTGAATTTACCATTGCCTAATTTCAGTTAAATGAATTTTAACCGTCCACTAATAATAATTGCCAATAATACACAAGTTTTAATTATCTCACAATACTCTTTCTTAATTCAAACTTGCAAGGCTTAACATTCCTATCTTGCTTCTCATATCTTCAAACTTGCTAGTCTTCAAGCCCTTTGTTAACATATTTGCTAACTGATCTTCTGTACTGCAGTGTTCTATTGCAAGTTTCTCTTTGGCCACTTGATCTCTTAGAAAATGATACTTGATCTCTATATGCTTGCTCCTTCCATGAGCAATTGGATGTTTTTCTAAATCAATAGCTGACTTGTTATCCACTTTCAACCTCATAGTACTTTAACATTTCACTTTCAGTTCATGTAGCAGCATTTGTAACCATTGTGTCTGACTAGCACCAAAACCTACAGCAATATACTCAGCTTCATAGCTTGACAATGCTACAACATTTTGCTTCTTCGAACACCATGCTATTGGAGCCTTACCCATCATGAAAATATAACTAGAAGTACTCTTCCTGTCTTCTGTATCTCCACTCCAATCAGCATCAATGCATCCTATTAACTCAGTAGTTGCAGGTCGCTCTCTACTAGGAAATAGAATTCCCCAGTCAATTGTGCCCTTGAGATATCTCAGTATTCTCTTTGCAGCCACCATGTGAGTTCTCTTAGGCACCTCCATGTATCTACTTGTCACTCCAACAATATAGACTGTGTCTGGCCTTGAGTCACAGACATATCTAAGTGAGTCAATCAACTGCCTAAACAATGTAGAATTAACACCTTCATCAGTGACATTTTTCTGCAATTCCACAGTATCAACTGGTGTAGATACAGGCTTGCACTCAAGCATTTTAAACCTCTTAAGTAAATTGTTAATGTACTTCTTCTTATGAATAAAAATTCCCTTTTCACATGACACAAATTCCATGCCAAGGAAATAAGACAATTTTCCTAGATCAGTCATCTCATACTTGGTCATCATTTGCCTCTTGAGTTCACTATTTCTTGTTCATTGCTCCCTGTCACTAACAGGTCATCCACATACAGGCAAATGATTATCAAGTCATCATTTGTGTTCAATCTTACATACACACAATGTTCAGTTGAACACTTAGTAAAATTTAGCTTCTGCAGTGAGGTATCAATCTTTTTATTCCAAGCACGTGGTGCTTGCTTGAGTTCATACAAAGCCTTCTTCAACTTCATTACTTTTTTTCCATACCCTTCTTCTCAAAGCCAAGTGTCTGCTTCACATAAACCTCCTCTTCCAATGGCCCATTGAGAAACGCAGATTTGACATCAAGTTGATTCAACCTCCATTTTCTCAAACTAGCCAATGCTACTATCAATCTCACAGTCTCAATCCTTGCAACTTGGGCATATATCTCATTAAAGTCAAGTCCAGGTTGTTGCAAGAAGCCTTTTGCAACCAACCTAGCTTTATATTTTGCAATCTCACCATTTAGCTTCATCTTAGTTTGTAGACCCATTTTACATCAATGGCTCTCTTATTACTTGGTAGATTCACCATCTGCCAAGTTTCATTTCCTTCAATTGACCTTAATTCATCCATCATTGCTTCCTTCCACTTTGGATTTGAAAGTTCTTGATCAAGTGTTATAGGTTATGACTTTGCCATGAGAACCAAGTGCATTATATCAGTAACATCTTCACCCAAGCCTGCAGGGTACATGACATAACCTTGTAGTCTCACTGATGGGAATCTTACTCTGTTAGATATTCTCAATTGTTCCATATTGTCATTATCATCATTCTCAACATTATTTTCATTTACATTGTTCACATTGTCATCATTAAGAACAATTGGTTCAGGCACATTCACTTCTTCCTCATTGTCAACTTGGTCATTGTCAAGTTGAATGATAGTTGTTCTACTGGTAGCTTGCTCAGTTAATTCCTTCCAATTTCATTCTCTAGTTTCATCTACAATTACATTATTACTCACTACTATCTTCTTGTGAATTGGATCATATAGTTTGTATGCAACAGTGCTATGATAGCCTATCAATATCATTGCTTGTGCTCTAGAATCAAGGTTTCTTCTATTTTGTTCAGGAACATGCCTGTAACACAGTGAGCCAAACATTCTAAAATCTTTACACTTAGTTTCATACCACTCCATGCTTCTTCAGGCATGATGCCTTCTAGTCTCTTGGTTAGACACATGTTCAGTATATGAGTAGCTATATATACTACTTCTGCCCATAACTTATGTGGAAGATTTTTTTCTCTTAGCATACATCTCACCATATTAAGCAGAGTTCTATTTCTTCTCTCCATTGTACCATTGTGTTGAGGAGTATATGGGGCCATTACTTCATGAACTATACCCTTGTCTTTACAGAAATTTTCAAACTCATGTGATGTATATTCATCACCACCATCAATTCTAAGCAATTTAATTATACTATCACACTGTTTTTCCACTAACAGTTTAAATTGCTTAAAAATGTTGTACACTTCACTCTTTTTCTGTATAAGATAAATCCACATCTTCTTATTATAGTCATCTATGAAGGACACAAAATAGGAATTACCTCCAATGGATTTGACTTCAAAGGGTCCACACACATCTGAATGAATGATAGCAAGCTTCTTTGTTCCTCTAGTTGGTATTGCAGACTTACATGACTTCCTTGGTTGTTTTCCCTCATAACATTTTCCATATATCTCCTTTGGTTCTTCAATTTGAGGTAAGCCAACCACCATATTCTTCTTCTGCAACATCTTCAAGCTATTGAAGTTCAAATGTCCCATCCTCTTATGCCATTTCCATACTATATCATCTACTTGTGCAGTTAGACATTTTTTATCAATAGAATTCACACCAACCTTGAAAGTTCTATTTCTTGACATAGACACTTTAAATACTTCCATGTAATTTTCTTTCATATTCATTAAATAACCCTTCTCTAGTAATTGCCCCAAACTAAGCAAATTACTCTTCATTTGTGGAACATAAAGTACATCACTCACTATTACTTTTATTATGTCTTCCCTTCTAATGGATACCTTTATAATACCTTCTGCAATGACATAGCTACCATCACCAAATCCAATCTTCCTTCTCACAGTTTTGTCAATTTCACAAAACCATTCTAAATGGCTCGTCATGTGATTAGAGCACCCTGTATCCAAGTACCACCATTCTACTCCACCACCTTCAGTAACTGTCATCAGCATCATTACCTCTTCATCAATTGTTGCCACTAATGCAACAACTTCTTCATCTGAGTCACGAGCTAAGTGTGCCTCTTCATTTCTCTTCCTAGGCACCTTAAAATTCACACATTCATCTACAAAGTGACCCCATTTTTTACAGTTATAGCATTGAATATGCTCTTTAGATTTCTTCTTTCCTTTACCATCACTCTCACCTCCATTCTTCTGAGATTCTTGCTTAGAATTTCCACCCTCATTCTTGTTACTCTTCCACTTTCCTTTACCTTTCTTCTTCCGATATTCATTACTACCACTTCCTTTTTTCTAAGATTGTGTAAACAATTCCTTCTCAGTTTCTTTCTCATCTTTCTTGACACCATCTCTATTCTTCAATTTCAATTCATGAGCTTCTAAAAAACCTATTAATTGTTCCAATTTCAACATGTCTAGGTCCTTAGATTGTTCAACTGCAGCAACTAAATTATCAAATTTGGGTGTTAAACCTATGATAACCTTTTCAACCTTCATTGAATCAGTAAGTACTTCACCACAACTCTTCATCTGGTTGGTTAGTACAGTTAACCTGTTCATGAATTGCGCTACTGTCTCATTTGGTTCCATTTACAATTGACCTAATTGACGCCTTAAAGCCATCAATTTCACCTTCTTGGTTTGTCTATCGTCGGCCTAAGTGGTTGCAAGAACATCCCAAGCTTCTTTGGTCGTCTCATATTCAATTATATTTTCCAAGACATTTGAATCTATACATTGATGGAGGAAGTATATCGCTTTATCGTCTTTCTTCATTTGTTCACGGTGAGTTGCCCTCGCTGCCTCCGTTGGTGTTGCGTCAAGCGGTGTCACTCCATTGCGAATAACATTTAGAACACCCTGATACCTAAATATAACCTTCATTTGAGTTGTCCATCTTTCATAATTGCTGCCGTCAAAGATTGGAAGTTTTGCATGAATTTGATCACTGATTTTTTGAATTTTCTGCCATGTTCGTCGTCGTGTGTGGTTGTGGATCGTCTTGCTTTGATTCCAATTTGTTGGAATGAAAATTTACTATTCTATTGATTCACTATTTTTTTCATCAGTTCTTGGAAATGAGAGGGAATGAAAGT